GCTATTCCCCTGCCCCCACCCTCTCTGGCCCCTCCAGAATCCAGTTCGGTTTTTGCGCTGTGCCGGCAGGCCGACGCAGCCCGGCCTCTATCGAGAGCCAATCAGAGCGCTCCTCTCAGCACGTGGAGCAGAGAGACTCCAGAGCTCTGCGCCCGCAGCTCACTACACTTGTAACCGCTTGTCCTGAGCGCAGAGAGGACGAGCTCCGGCTGAGGCCAGGGTGAGAGTCCGCGGCCCGCAACCGAGAGAGACAGAGAGGAACAAAGATCTCAGTAATACCTGTTATAATCAGACACCCTAACCACCCCCAGCGCACACTCTTTCATCCCACCCGCCAGGAAAGGCAGCCAGAGGTCCGCTCTCTGAGCCCAAGGAAAAGCTCCAGCCATGAGCAATCAGTACCAGGAAGAGGGCTGCTCCGAGAGGCCCGAGTGCAAGAGTAAGTCTCCAACTTTGCTCTCGTCCTACTGCATCGACAGCATCCTGGGTCGGAGAAGCCCATGCAAAATGAGGCTTCTGGGAGCCGCGCAGAGCTTGCCTGCCCCGCTGGCCAGCCGCGCTGACCAAGAAAAAGCCATGCAAGGTAAGGTTGTGCCGGTCAGGCACCTACAAAAGGACATTGGGCATTGATTTGAATGTCTGCTATTTGGGGACCAGGAGCCTGGGGGTTGTCAGTTTTTGGAGACATAGGAAAGAGAGGGAACAACTCTGGCTTCTGGGGCCTTAGAGAAAGGAACTGTCTCTACCTCCCCTTTCAGAAAAGGCAGAGAGGCCCAGCTTCACTTGCGGGGTGGAACTCTTAGATGCTCCGTGTTAGTCGTTTAAAAGTCTCTTTTGGTTGGCCTTGGGTGTACCCTGAATAGCTCTGACAGGTCCGAAACAGCAGCTGCTCTTGATAAGGACAAGAAACCCCAAAGCTAAGGCATGGCGGTGGTAGCGGCCGGCCATGGTGGTTCATGCAAGGTGAACTTTCTAGCCTTTTTCTTTCGGAAGATTTCTTTATATGTAATGGTCTGCGTTTCTTTTTAGTTTTTAAGTGTACATTATTGGTGACATTTAAATGCAAGTGTTTTAGAAAATATTTCCTCAGGTTCCCTAAACGCAACTTACTGTATCTGAAATGTATGAAATGTGTGGCTTCTGGGTGCTACTTTTCTCTGCTGTGCTTTTTTTTTTAAGAGTTGAGATGTTTAAAGTGTTTTATTTTCTGAAATTAAAAAATCCAGAACAAGTGTCATTTGGTCCTCCGAACCTCTTATAGTTTCGCCTTGAGCTGGATGCGGAAGTGTTGCAGGCAAAGAAGTGTTGGTGTCTTTTAAATCCAAAACCAGTGATCCAGCAGCAACACCATTTGGAAGACTGGAGCGAAAGGCTGAGAATAAGCCCTCTAAAATAAAACTGACTTTTTCCTTTTCTTTTTTTAGCCTACAAGGGCACCTGTGCCAGGCGCTTCCTCCAAGGGAAGGAGCCGGCCTGTGCCTGTTGCACCCCACCCCTGTCCCCACTCCAGGCAGTTCTTAACACATTTTCTCCAGGAGAATTTTTTTCTTTGCCCTTTTGAGCAAGAAATCCCTGCCTCCTGCCGCTGTGGGCCTTTGGGCCATGGCGAGTGTTCAGGGCTGAAGGGCCCAGGCGGTTTCGCCCCGCAGGGGTCGCCCGCGGGGCAAAGCCCCTCTTGGTAGCCTGGGGCCCCTGTGACAGAACAGCTGGCTGAGTTCGAGCTCAAAGTTTTTAGAGTGGTGGTGATTTAAGTTGTTCGATTTTTTTAAAAAATTCGCCCCACCCCAAAAGAGGGAGAAGAAAAAAAAAAGAGAAAGGAATGAAATAAGATAGAAGTGGACTCATGGGAGGAAAAGAAACAGAAAGGAGAGTACAGAAAAGAGATGAGAAAGGGAACGGAGTGGGGAGAAAGTAGAAAAAGAAGGAAAGAAAGGAAAGGGGACACGAACGGAGTAGGTATGAGAAAGAAAAAAAGGAAGTAAAGGGCTGGATGAGAAAGGAAAGAAGGAAGGAAGGTAAAAGGGAGACTGGGACACAAGAGTAGAAAAAGAAAGAAGGAAGCATGGCAAGTGTGCAAGGAAGAGGAGCTGAGCCCGAGGGTAGGGGCACAAAGGCTGCAAGGCAGGCCGGCTCCCAACAGCTGCAAGGCAGGCAGGGGGGAAAAGATGGTCGGGCTAGCGCGCTG